AAAACACGTGGAGAGTCCCGATTCTTAATTTCACTTTGACAATAAAAAAAAAACCTTGTTATTGAAGAAACAATCATTTTAGCATAAATTTGCATGATCAGTAATTTGGCTCCGTCACTGCATATCTGCTTGGCACTCATCTCAAACCAAAACGTTCCACATAGATACATCATTGATCTGACGAAAACCTGGCGAATCATTATTTATTATACTTTCCTTTCATTACTGCATGTTTATCAACCTATGACAACTTGAGTAATGACTCATCTAGCGATGCAGAAACAGTTTTTTTTTATGTTAGTAATTGAACAATAATGGAATATCGTAACATTTTATGTTGACATTATGCTTGGCGATGATAACAGATTTAAGTTAAATACGCTAAAAATGTTGATGAGGGAAAATTTAACAAACATTTCTTTCCATATGCAAAAAATAGATTTTTTTGATGATACTCATAGACCTAAAAGATTACATTTAGGGCTATTTGAATTAAGAATAACTGATTTGTGATTCGCATAAACCCAGAACCAGCGCCAGGGCTCGTACGGCGGCACCAGGTCGCAGAATTTAGGACCCACAGAGACTGCATCAGGCGGTAAGATATCTAGTGCCGGCCCTCAATAAGGCTTAAGTGTATGTGGAAATTTATTTATTCTGAACTCTGATAAGCATGTGCAAGAAATAGACATAAGTAGAATAAATAACTAAACTAATACAATTCAGGGTTAATTGTCTCGGTGTGCGATAGAAGCAAGATAAAATTTAACAAAATAACTTGTCAATAGTCGCCAAGCTCATGATGCATAGCCAAATGTGTATAGTGAAGTATAGCTAAATTTGATGATGATAGCCGCAAATTTTAAAGGTTTTCGGATATCGCAAAACAGAGGTGAAATTTTATAATAACGGATTTTGTTAAGACATGTGGAAAAGCGGTGTTAAATAAAGATGATATAAAAGAAGGTTTTCATTGTGATGACAATGAAATCACCATTCAATTAATGAATGGCGAAATCTGTAGTATGGTTCTAGATCCATAGATAGAGTATTAACTATAAATGGACTTACATTTTTCTATCAGTAGAAAAGAAATAATGCATGGTTTCAATTTTAATAATACAATAAACTTTGATCTTAATTTTTGTAGTCCTTAACTGAATAAAATCGAATTACCTTAATTTTTTTCTAATGTAATTAACGAAAACTTGTGAAAATATTTCATTCAAATTAAACTGTTTTGTGAAAAGTATAACATATAATTCCGATCAGAATGAATTGTTGTTTGAAAATGTATTCTTTTCACATACTTAGGACTCTGAAATACTGTAGGGAAAGAAATATATACATTTATATGTATATTTACGATCTAATTACAAAATATTTACATCCGATCATGTCAAAACCTTTGATCTTTTGGTCACCATGAAGGGATCGCCAGTGCTTCAAAGCAGTGTATGGAGAAAAACAGTTAGGGCCTCTCCTTCTTACTTCCTACCTCCATGGTATATCCTCAAGAAAAGTCTAAAGATGTTTTAGAGCTTCAAGAGAGAAGGTAGTTCATTAAAGGTTTGCAGATCAGTTGCTTACTCTTCAGACCCACTTGTAGATTTCTCAAGTCTAGCAAAAGTTGGGTAATTACTAGGAATCTCAAGCAGAACTTGCTGACCTTTGATGTGTTTCTCTGGAAACCAAGATAGGAATTTTCTTAGTACATTATCTCCTTACAGTATAAAAATTTTATGAGGAAATGGCATAGGTAATAAAATGCATCCTACAATGTTTAAAGTAGCCTATCTTAACCTTTGATATTACTGAAGTTTGAGTATTCCACCATACCAAATATAACAATAATTTCTAGAACAGTTTCCGTAACTCTTTCTAGAAACATTATGCAGTGTCTTGAGAAGGCATACTCAAGACAATGCTTTAATTTTAACAGAAAAAATTTTGTTGTCTGTGGATTGACATTTGTTTGAAATTATTAAAATTTAAAGCATGCTAATCGTAATTGCATCAGCTTCTTAATGCACTTTAAAATTGTTTAAGTGAGCAATTCTCAACCGGTGGTATGCAAAAAAACAGTTCTTTTTACTTAAATTCAGAAATTAAATACCCCAACATCCTGTTTGAGTTTTTTCTCTAACACTCGTAAATTTTATGCGATCTGAGGTTTTTTCAAGGTCAATAGCCGCTTACAGACTTTAGCAAAATAATCCGTTTTTATTTTCACAAATATTCTTTGAATCATAGATATAACAAAATTTGTCATAAATGATGTTTTTAAAAGGAGTAATGGAAATGGATGTTGTATCTCATAGGAAATAAACGTAATTCCTATAGAAAGATAATAGTAGCTTATTAATTCTTTTAGAATTGATTGATGTATTAGCATGTCTACACTTTATGTCACAACGATTTCCGTGCTCGTATTGCTCTATTTTCAATTAGAATCATTTTTTTACATCAATTTGCTGTCTCTAACAGTAGGTATTTTTCTTCTAGTTAGTTTATATTCCTTACTTTTCTACACAATTTGAGAATATTGTTATCTGTTTTTGAAGAACTCGGAATATATTGTGCATTTAAACATTTGTGAAAAAATTATAAAACAAACCTAGATTTTCAAAATGGAAAATTGGTAGAACTAATTAAGTAGATAAGTGATGATTCGGAGGTGGTGGATCCAGGACAATCTAGTAGCAATAAGAATACTGAAAAGAAATAGAAAATTAATTTAGAAGTCAAACAACAAAAATCAGCATTATATTTTCAAATTTTCCCAGGACTAGTTTCGATGGTTTTTACCGAACCATCATCCTCAGCTGCAAAAGTGAAAAAAAAAAAAATTGTTTTTCTTGTTTGACTTTTAAATTAATATTTGTTCACCATGTTATTGTATCTTAAAATGGAAAATTGTGTATAGAAAATATAATGAAAGTTATTTAGTTAGTAGTATTTTATATTTTTTACGTTCAGACCACATAAGGTTGGTCTTTGTATTCCGAAGTGTATGAGGACCTGTATTAGTGTGGAAAATAAAGGGCAACAAAACCCTTCTCATCTTGTTATCTCTTCAATACTCCTTAAGACATAGTTTGTAGTCAAACTCCTTGTCCAGTCAGGACATGTCATGTTTTGAAAACAAATTAAACGGAATGCAAGTCCTGATAGTTGTATTTGAAAAAAGAAACATACGGAACAAAATTAAAAGTGGATCCTAATTTATGGTTAAAACTAAGTGAAATAAGACCAGGCATAAAGAAATTGATTTATGTTAAACAAGCCCAAATTTCACACTTAAACTTTAGGATTAAAGTGTTGTAACTTAAATTTTGATAGTTAAAATTGTAACCGAATTTTAGTTTTTTTTTTTTAATGTGTACATCTTTGATACAAACAGCCAACAGGTTGTGCAAATGGCAAAATATATTTTATAAAAATATTTATATTGAGAAATTGAAAGAAAATCATTGTAAAATGTCATGGTGGTACTAAAGTTTTTCAATTTTTTATTACATGTTACACGTTAGTCAACAGGTTGAGAACCGCTGGTCTAAGTTAATACAGTCAAATACCAAAAAATCCGCCAACCCTTGAAATCCACGTTGCCTCTCAAAATATAAACATTCAGTTTTTAGGTTCCAGGAACCGCAACATGGAGCAAGAAATGTCGAAGAAAAAACTACCGGATAATAGTCATAATACCGAATAATAATGAGTCATAATGGAAACCGAATTTGATCATGATAAAAGTTTTTTTCCCCATCTAATCTGCAGCGAGGAAGGAAAGCAGATGATTCACTCAACTCTTTTTCAAATTACTATTACGTTGTTTATTTTCTGAGCTTGTTATTTCACAAGATTATTTAGTGCTGCCTTTTTTGTATCCGGTATTTGTGGATAAATTAAGAAATTTAAATTCAGCCCTTTTTTAATACAATTAAAGATAAAAAAAACGCACTCATGATTTATGCTTGCAACGTTGAGAAACGTAAACACGTTCGTTGCATTGACGGTAATACAAAAAGTGCAAATTCTACAAAAGATGGTGACAGGTGCTACTCCTCGGTTTATAGCAGAATCGTATGGAATTGCAATATGATATACGGAAAATTAAAGAAAAGCTGTTGAAATTTTACAGCAACAGTGATTCTAACACCGGAAATCTTTGCATGAGGCGAAATCGGCAAACCTCGATGATGTGTATATGTTACCATGAAAGACCAAAATTGGAGAATGTCGACTTTCACCGGAGATATCAACATTCACCAAATACGTCGGTGAAAGACAGAATATTCCACATTATTGTATATTCGGACCCTCACAGGTGTATGCGACAATCACAGATATGCTCTAGTGAAAGTCGAAAAGAGAGATAAAGTCATAATAGTTGTTGTTGCAATAAATAAGATTTGAATCAACATAATTAATAATTTTTATTACTGTTATTTATTTTCTCATTAGAACGTACTGTAAATTAAGTAGTTTTACTCTATATTTTCCTTTCTCATTTGAATGTTTTAGGTCTTATTTTAATTCTCAAGGATTTATTCGCGACCAAGAGATATGGAATGTGACATCACGGTGAAAGTTGACATTCTCCAGATTCGGTGTTTCACTGTAACATATATATAATACAATAAATAATATAATCATTTGTATATGTAATAAAATTAATGCATACAATAAGTTATTCCAATAATGCATGCAATAATTTAATTAATATATCTAATACGCATATTTATTTTGCACTTTTGTCTGAATATTATGATTTATCTTTTCTATCTTGACCTCTGTCCGCACTACCTCTGGTCCTAAGCTTTGCGGATTTTGGAATTTTACCGTATCTTTGAATTTTCAATGCAAGAATAGCTCTGAATCTTAAAACAGTATTCTTTCAATTAAAATTTTAGAAATATGTCTCTCTTTACTTTTTTTATTTGCATACCTCAAATTATATTTTTAATTATACCATAAAGCATTTTAAATATTTTTAGCATGATCAACAAATTGTTCATCGAGACATTAAGGGGGATAATGTGTTAGTTAACACATACAATGGTGTTGTTAAGATATCAGATTTTGGAACATCAAAGCGTCTAGCAGGAATAAATCCAGCAACTCAGACATTTGCAGGCAAGTGTTTTTTTTTTTATTATTTATTTATTTAAGTTGTATATTATGTTTAGTATTTGTGTATTTATTAATTAGCTTCAGTAGGGTTTTTAATTTAACTGTTTTCAAAATGAAAACTTATTACTCAAAAGTGTGATTGTTGAAAACTGTGAACTGATTTTTTCTTTATACTAAATTTGATGGATTTTATTTATTTTTTCATTTTGTTTTTGAGTACAGATTATTTGAATTTGCATCATATTTGTAGTTGTTTCATGAGACAAACTTTCTGTTTGTTAGTTAATTCCATTTGTTTCACCTTGCATTTATTTTGAAATTTTGTTCAGTTAAGGAATTTCTTTACTAATTTCAACATATAGTTCTAGGGCAAATAGCTCTTCTCTGAGCACATATGCCTAAGACAGAAAGCCTTTTTATTGTTCATTTTAATGTGGCATATTTCTCCTTTCTGTGATAAAAATAGTGACTATTTATAACTTATCAATGAAATCATCATTTATAGCATGCATCATTCCAAATTAATTTTGTTTCTTGCAGTCTTACATAATGCTCCATTGCAGATATCTTTTACCTAATCAGTGAATAAGATTTCATTTGAAACCAAAACCTTTTTCACTCTCTTTCCCACACTTCTTGTGAATGGATCATTCTCTTTTTTTACTTGCTTGCCCTCTGCTAACACACTGCAGCTTATTTCTCTCTATCATCCATCGTATGTCTTCAGATATAAGCTTCCAAAAATCTGGAATGCATATTCCACCAGTAATGATATGTGAATCAGAATATTCATGTCACAAATTATTTTGTTCAGGAATAAGATTATGTTGCATCTACAGTTGCATTCATCAGCAAGTCTCATGCTTCTACTATGCAATTATGCCAGCACCATTTACGACCATTGGCCATGATTAAAATGCATTTCTATGTGCTCTCTTACCCACATCCTAAAATATTACACACACACGCGCGTATATGTAATGATTTCAAATGCATAGATGAAATCAGTGGAACTCTCAACAGCTTACGATACTGCGTAGATGACCGAGAAGACCGTAGTGGCTTGAAGGTGGCAGAGTGGAAAGCATGATGATGCAATTTAGCACAGCATATCTTGAAAAATCACAATCTATTTTTTTTACGCATATCAAATCATCCTTTTTCAGACAAGATGTTTCCTTAATATATATTTGAATACAGTATAAGTTGCATTTTGAAGTAGTACGTCATCTTAAGTAAGTAAGCAGCAGCATGGTTAAAAGCGTCTTACCAGCAGGAGAGCTAATGCGGAAAAAAGGCAAAGTATATAGTACTTAAGAAGGCTGAAGGAGTGAGAAGTCGGTTTCAGCTCACAGTTTTGTTTTAGTTTACAATTAATTTGATTGGACAAGAGGTATCTGCTTTAAAACGTTACGTAAGATAGAAAACTCTGGAACCTGTGAGAAAAGATGAATTTAGGGGCAGATTACCAAATTTAGAATGTTAATTTTGAGGTCGTCAGTTATTTTTTTGAAACAGCTATCATATTTTGTTATATTTTACATATCCCCCCTTCAAAAGAAAAGTTGGGTGAGCAGGTGGAAGAACAAGCATTAGAGCAGCAAAATGTGAAAGATATAATTTTGAAAATACAAACATATTAATTTTTAAACAAAAAATTGTCATAAAATTTTGACCGATATTTTGACATTTCACTGAATATCATAAAATTTTGAATAGAATTATGAATTTTAGCACTGTATTATTTTTAAATAATGGCATATTTTAGAGTTCTGAGGTAAGAATGTCAATGAAATTTTGTAAAGTTCTTGAAATTTCCACACAGTAAAAGTTCAAATATTTACTCAAATAAATGCTCAAATAAAAGTCTTTCCAATTTTTGTTGATGAAAATATTTCTATTATAATACAATTTAAGATGCCAACTTTCATGTTATTTAATTATGTTTTTTAGGAAAGGTATTTTAAAATATAAAAATTTTGTAACACATCATTCATAAACACAACAAATTTTAAACTTTTCACTATTATTAAAACATTTTAAACTGTACTTATTCTTTACAAAACTTGAAGACTCCACAACTTTATCTAAATATTAGAACTTCCATCATATTGGTTTATCCAGTTGAGCAAACTGGTGTTTAATATTCTTCACCAGTGGCCAAAAGATTTGCCAAATTAGCAGTTACAAGCTGGTAGGATACTTTCTTGCAGCCTGAAAGGAACCTCAATTGAAAATTTAGTTCAGCTCTTCAAATCATCGTTTTGTGATAAATCCAAGATAATGTGAAAGAAGTGAATCATCAAATTTGTTTTTTCAGTGTTTAAAAAATAACAGATCATTCTTCTGCTGTGGTGTTTTGCAAGTGCTTCAAAAAAAAAATAATAATCATGCATAGTGTTTACAAATTGAAAGTAATCTCTCGATAAATTGAGAAGTTCGAATGCCTAGTGAAAAGGAAATCATCAGTGAATTACCGTTTTAGGAATTAAGCATTACAGCGGGTTCAAGGTAGATCTGAGTTAGTGTTTGCAAGTATGTGCGACAGAAAATTATTTGCACTTTCCACTTTTTCAACAGCTCAAAAATTTTTACATTCGTGTGAATCTAAGCTCAGGAAACTAAATTCATTTAATAGTGCTGCGGATTCTATAGTTTTCATTTCAACTTTGTTAATTAAAATTTCTGCAAGTTTGTTTTGAGAAAATCTGAAATTCTTGTTCATTAATTTTTTTAATTTTTCATAATTATGTGTGAGCAAAATTAAGTAACGCTAATTTTAAGCTATTTAAATTATTCATAGGGAAGGATATTAAGATAAGTTTTTATGTTTTTGAAATTTTGTTGAAAATTTTGAATACGAATTTTATAATTATTCTAAAAATGAAGTAGGTGTAAAAAATAAGTGAAATTATTGGATACGTAATATGAAATTATGGTAAGTGCATGTTAAATTTATGGGTGATTGTATGTTAAGTATAGTGTATGTCGAGGGAGTTCTGAGTTCCTAAGCAGAGACCTGTAATTACCTCTGTACAGTTGCTCCCTTCACCCTCTTCGAGTAAGATAATGGAGGCTCTCATTTTATGAGTGTGTGTAATTTTTTTTATATTATTATTATTATTATTATTATTATTATATTGTTTATTATGGAATGTATTAGTGCAGTTCGCAAAGGCCAGTTACCTTATGCAAGGAACGGAGGCCTTTTCAAATAACTGCCTAAGCACCCTGGGCCACCAGTGCAGAGAACATACTGGTTAGCTCAAGAGGACAGCCCTACTGATGGATATGTTTCTTTAGAAGTATTGCGAGGCCTTCCAGTTTGGTAAAATCAGGAATTGCAAATGAAAGATAATAATGGTGAAACCATAATTTCTGAAACTGTTACTCCTATTATATTAATATGGAAATTAGTATCATAAATAATTATGTGCATTACAGTAATTATTATGTAAAAGTTTATTTTGTGATATTCTGTAATAACAAGAACCTTCCTTGAGGAATTATGATTATGTGAACTCTCAAACAAAAAGACTTTTGGGCTGAAATGCTGAAAAATTCAATAGGACTCTAAAAATTAAAAATTTATTTAAAAAAATTGATATTTATAAATACGAGGGCCATCCAGGAAGTAGATTACGTTTCCGTCTGTGTCCGCTAGGGGCGGGGCTAGCGTGGCCATCTTGGGGTCAGAGCGTTGCGCAGCTCAGTCTGCATCTAGCCGTGCTAGTGAGAAGTTCGTGCTGTGCTCCGTTCAGATACTGTGACGGTTTGAAATGTCTGCGTTAATTGAAAATCCCGCGAGCTGCGAGGTGCGCTCAGTAATAAGGTTTCTGACTGCAAAAAAAACTGTAAAACCGATAGAAATCTATCGGCAGCTTCGTGAAGTGTATGGGGACAACATTATCACTGAAGGTGGAGTGCGTCAGTGGGTCATAAGATTCAAAATGGCCGAACCAATGTTCACGACGAAGATCGAAGTGGGAGACCCAGCATAGTGACCGCCGAACTTCTCGAAAAAGTCGATGCTAAAGTCCGTGAAAATCGAAATTTCACAATAACGGAACTTTCTTTGAGACCTGGCACGAGCGACTTCCACCTATTCCCAGCAATGAAGAAGTGGCTGGCTATGCAGCGTTTTGATGACGACGCAAAGCTGCAAGAAGAGGTAACGAAGTGGTTGAAGGCGCAGGCGGGCCGAATTTTTCGACGAAGGAATTTCCAAGCTCGTACATCGCTACGATAAATGCCTTAATTTGTATGGTGACTATGTAGAGAAAAGTAGTATTTGAGTGTGGCTTCATCTGTATATAATAAAATTGTGTCCTATACTTTGTTTATTTTTTATTCCAAAACGTAATCTACTTTCTGGATAGCCCTCGTACTTTGCAGGACAAAAATGTTATTTTTTTTTTTTTTTTTTAACATTTGCTAGTGCTTTAACTCTTTCTCTTTAACAAGGCTTCTCTGTCACTATGGCTTTTTTCTTTCTGAAGGGGGGGGGGATATGTAAGATAAAAAATATATGAATCAAAATTATAGTTTAAACTAATGGTAAAACATTAATTCTTCCTCTTTATTCTAAAATCGTAATAACTTCTCTGTATTGCATCATTTCTAGATCACTTTATGGCCTGCGCAGCTCTGATGACGTAATGATTGGGAAGTGAAACTGCCATTGTAAACCAAAACTTTTCGCCGTGCTTCCATCTTTAATAACTACGCACTTCAGCTTTTGCTCTCTACTGTGCTAAGATGTAATTTCGCTGGCTTGCTTTCTATCTCAACTATATCAAAAATGTAAAACTTCTGTGGAAAGGCACGACTAGAGTGCCAAGTGATTGTGGCCACAAATATCAGTAGCAAATAAAAATAGAATTAAAACTGCCTCGACTGCCAAGTTCTTCAGATATTACCAAGTTAGCATTACTAGCATACTATGCAATCAAAATCGTCTTCAATATGGGTCTAATCACACATCTACAGTGTTCCATCTTTTC